TGAAATCGAAGAAGTCACTTGCGTTTCATCAAGCAATAATGCTGATACTGAACAGTGGAATACAAACCAAAAGTCTGATTCTAACTTGACGCTTTGATAATGTAAATGATAGAGATAATATTAAAGGTTCTACGTGTTTGACTAATGATGCTCTTTCTATCGATGGGGATTCTAATACATTAGTCGATAATAGCAACAACGTGATGAGTGGTAAGTCTATGATATAATACGTATATATATAAATACTTAATTATAACACATTATGCAACAAACATTCGGTACGCAATCTTTTTACGTACCTTGCATAACAATAACATTTATAGCTTTAGCGACATAAGTTACTCGTAATAAAAATTGCTTTACTTTATTTTTATAAATTTTGTTTTACAGATTCATCGCTAGCTGCCAATTCCAATGATACGTCAAATGTAAATGTAGAAAATATTTTGACATCGATATTAGGTGAGCCCTCTGATGTAACACAGAGTGCTCAATGTTGTGATGAATTAAACTTTACTTTTACACATAGAAATGCAAATGTCATTGAGACATTTAAAAATCCTAAAAAATCTCCTAAGATCTTATTAATACAAAATGTTACTAATAAAGTTAAATTAATTTCACCGCTTTCAATGCGTACAGAGAAGACTGATAATATTATCAACAACAATATACAACTAAATAATACGTTTAATGTCACTAATAACAATAATGTTTCTTCAAATGCAAACAAGACCTACGTCAGTGATGATATTTTAAATGGTACATTTGTTCCGCTTGCGGAATCTACATTCGTAAAGAATCAGTCAACATCAGAGTGTGAAATCGACAATAATAATACTGACAATGGGTCAAATATCTCTGTTACATCTATGAATAATTCCGATGATAGTTTTCATGTATCAGATTGTTCTAAGCTTGAAGACACAGATGAAGATGAAAATGAAAATACTCGTGAACATATAACTAGTACAAATAAGAATAAAACTGTGAACAGCACATTAAATTTGACAGCATCACGCTCATCTAAAGTAGCTGTATGCGATGATAGAAATATGTATGTGGAAACTTCTGACGGTTCTAAATTAAAATTAAATATGTGCTTATATTGTAAAAAATTTCAATCGCAACTTGCAAGGCACTTAGAATCTGTACATAAAAATGAAGGAAAGGTGAAAAAGTTTCGTTTTTTACCTAAAGGTAAGTTGTATGTTACATACAAAATTGCCAACAATACTTAGGTAGAATATTCTAAAAAAAATGTCGAAGAAAATAATTCATCATTGCTTATTATTCATCATAGCTTTTCCAATTTTAATACTTTATATCTGTAAAATTATGCTTTAAAGTGAAATTATATTCAAGTCAACTACCTGAATTTTGCAAAAAAATAAAATTTTGTTACATATTCCGCTAATTTAATTCACGAAGTCCTTTTTTTAATCGCTTATAACTCGGAAAATATTAACGTCCCGTCTTTTTTATATTAAAATTTCCGTATCTAACTTAAAAATATACTATTAAAGTATTGTTTGCAAGATTTTGCATACCAATAGTGTTGCATTCACCTAACTCAAAGTATTATATCAAATATAATTTTCATGAATTAATATTTAATTGGAAATGTTCTTCGCATTAAATTAGATCAAGTTTTGTTATAAAGCAGACTTATATTACTTATTTGTGTGGGTTGGTTTCTAATTCAAAATATAATTCAAGTTTAAAACACGTTTCAAGTTGACTATTAATTTATGAATTTATGAATAATTATGAAAATTGGATTTGACCTGTTCTGGCTTGGTTTAACTCTCTGATGCCCGATTTCACCAACGTCGTTTAACTTGAACCTTAGTTCAATTTACTCTTTGTCTGTTTCTATGAAAAACTGTTAGAAAGAGACAAAGAGTGAATTGAACTAAGGTTCAAGTTAAACGACGTTAGTGAAATAGGGTATAAAAAGTCAAAAATATTACTTGATAAATATATTGAGATGACTCTGACTATATAAAAGTGTACTTTCTTCACCAACTATTATAATATCAAATCTATTCCAAAATTTTCCAGGATTGGAAAAATTTTAACAGGACAAAAATTATTAGAGGAAATGGGGGCTAACTCGACACCGGGGCAAACTTGACACTAGGCTTTTTGCCAATTTAAATCTATCGTAGAAACTTGCCTTTCCTACTGTAAATGCGTCTTTATGTGTCAGTATTATCAACGGAATTTGGTAACACTCTGAGTTATAGTGTAATTATTAACGCGACATAAGCGTTTTTGATAGTAAAAGTAATTTTTCTGATCTCTCGAAAATGGTCTACTCTTTCATCGAGTTTTCGGACAAAACTAAGCGACGTACAACAAAATTTCCTTAAGCATTTTGTATCTGAAAAAACGCTCTTTAAATGTGTACCATTAAATTTGCTTAAAAATTTTAATTGTTGAAAATTGCCTTTGAAAAAATTGTGTCGAGTTAGCCCCGGTCTCCCTTACTTGATAAATATATTGAGATGAATCTGACTAAAAATGTACTTTCTTCACCAATTATTATAATATCAAATCTATTCCAAAATTTTCCAGGATTGGAAAAATTGTAACCGGACAAAAAAATAAATTTAAAAAATGGTAATTAAGACAAAATAACTAAAAATAAATATTTTACAAAATAATAAATAATAAATAATAAATAATAAATAATAAATAATAAATAATAAATAATAAATTATAAACAAAACAATTTCCGTCGCCAGCAAATAATTCAAAATAAGTCGTTTTATTTTCGACCCAACTGGCCAATTAAAACAATATTGCACGACGTTTCGACCGAATTCCGGTCCTTTTCAAGTGCTTTAATTTAAGTTACACCGATCCGCATAACAAATTGCATTGTTGACGTGGTGTCCTGACAACGTCAAGACAAACGCAAAACTAAACAAAAGAGAAAATAATACATTTAACAATAAAAACTATATAAAATCGTTACAATATCGCGTTGGTCAAAAACAATAAAATTAATTAACACTGTAAAAATTAGTTAAAAGCTTACAATTCTTATGCGTTCCAAAACAAACGGTGAAATCAAAACGTCACTAGCCATATCGAGGCACAACGTCCGAACAGTAAGACAGTCAAAGTCGAAATGAAATTGTCAAACGTAATCCGCGGATAGCAAACGGCGCTCTGATGGAAAAACGAGCAGAACCGAATATACAGGGCCGACTAAGTGATACCTATGACCCGGTTATAAATAGATGGCAGGCTCTCAGTATCGTTTTGTAAATTGATTGTGCAATCATGTTTTTTAATGAAAAACATTTCCGATATTTCTCTTTTTTTGAAATGTTTTTCTTTGTATAAAATTTTCGGATGTTGCCACTTGAAATCATGATTGTGTGTAAGACGATGTTTGCTCACAACAGAATGATTATCTACATTTTTCCTAATATCACATCGATGTTCTTTGATGCGTGTTTCTAAATGCCTTTTTGTCTGGCCAATATATACCGCATCACAATTTGCACAATC